CCGGGCCTCAGCTTCTTCTGCCCTCTGCTCCAGGAGATGAGATTCTCTTCGGAAGCTGCTGCCCACGAGGCGCTGACGTTCACACTTGGTGTAAATTGAGTCCTCGCTTTCCTCTGGTTCTCGAACGGCCTTCACCTTGAGCCCTCTGATCCGTCGTTCCCTGTGCTTCTCTCTCAGGGCTTCAGATATTGCCAGCGCTGCACTTTGCCACCAGCGTGGCATCCCAGGTCCCCTCCCCTGGGTAGTTCTAACAGCTGCATGGCTACAGCATTCGAAGGCCGCCCATGCTCTGCCCGCCGGCCGGCCGCGCTCCGGCTCCGTGTTAGGGCCTCCTCCCTCGTCCCTTGAGAAACAGACTCTGACAGATTTGCCTGCAGGTGGTTTGTTCTGAGTGCTCTGAGCAACAGCATGAAAAGCAGGATGAGGCAGAGGGAGAAGTTAAAGGGCTGAGTACTTACATAAAAAGCCCTCAGCTGGTCCCATGGGAGCTCTGGGGCTAGAGTCGCCCTTCAGAGTTGTCCCAAATTTAGGTAAGTGGCCTGGTCCTTGACACCCTCACAGAGACGAGCCACTGGACGTGGGCTGCTCCAGGCAGGCAGCTCCCTTGGGTGGCGGGCATTCCTGGGGACATTGTAAACTGGGAATCGTCAGCGGGCAGTGTGCCCTCCCCGCCTCCCCTGCCCTGCTAGGGGAGCACGTGTCCCCGTCATGGAGGGGGAAGTCTGGATATGGTGGGGCATCCTCCTTCTGGCTCGAGTCAAAGACACCGGTCTGGTTTTAGTGCATTTTCAGTTTCTGTGAGAGGTTCTGGAGAAAGTGGGTAGGTGAGGTACTGGAGGAAGGGTCCGTGTAAGCTGTAGGGCACAGCCACAGAAACCCTGGCTTCCCCGGTGAGAACGAGCGAGAACCAGCGTGCCGGCCTCCTTCTGTGGGGCTGCCGGCACCTTGCGGGCCCAGGGTGCAGGAGTCTAGAAAGCTCCAAGAATCGAAAGTTTTAAGTTTGGCACCGAAACTCCTGCAAAACCTGACTTGACCTGGTGTCGAAGGTAATAATCTACCTGCTTACAGTGAATAATCCTGTGCTGCCATGGAAATGTTTGGTTATAAAATCCTACCCCAAAGGCACTGTTTCAGCTTTCGAAGCTCTCAAAACTTCTAAGTTCCAAGACGCGTCTGGCTTCAAAGATTTCTGTAAGAGATTGTGACCCTGTGGCATTTCAAAGGTTGTTTAATGACAGACAGTAGACACTATGGCCAGACATGCTTACTTTTTAACTTTCAGCAAACCAAGAAGTCTTAAATAAAGTTGAAGTTCAGTATAAGACTCTTCCAGGATGGAACACAGACATATCAAATGCAAGGACGTTTAAAGAACTACCCGTTAATGCACAAAATTATGTTCGATTTATTGAAGATGAGCTTCAAACTCCAGGTAAATATAAACACTTCATGAACAATTACCTTAACTTTTTCTACTCTGGGCTTAACTGTCTACCTTTGAAATAAGATTAAAGATTATTATTCATAGAGTGCTTATGATTTGCACAGATGCCCAGGAAGACATAAGATAATTTTGCTCCTTAGAATAAATATAATCATCTTTCTTTAATCCTTCGTATACCTGCGGACAGTAGGTTACTTCTCACTGTTTCTGACCTGTTAGTCTGTTTTTCACCCTGGGACACCGATTCTTGTTTCTTTCTCCCCCCTTAATTGTTTGTTGTTTTTCATGTGGGGTTCAACTACCCTCGAGAGTTGGGGGAGTTTCAGACATTAGGAAAAAATAGGTACAGAAAATAGGAGATCTGATTTGGAAAAGCATTAGAATAAGGAATAAAACTTCTGTATGAAAAAACAAATGTCAGCTAGCCCGGGAATTCAACATAACCAAGTTATGGCTGTGACTAGTCATGTGAAGTGTTTCTTTTAACCCTTTGCTTTTTCTGTTTGCACTGATGGAGGATTCAATATCCTCCATATAATCTCTAATTATTCCAGATTTGTATTGTGTCTCATTTTTATTTGTGGTTCATCTCAAACATGAATGTTGGTTTCCGTATTGCCAGCTGCTCCTTCTAGCTTGAGGTCAGATTCAGCGAACTCACTCCTCATAGTCAGTTGTTTTTTAAATAGGAACAACAGGGCACTTGACAGTGTTGGCTGTGAAATACTGTAGGATTTACCCATGAGGTAGGAATGGTGAGAGATGTGATGTCCACAGGCTGGTACAGCAGGCAGTTCCTAAGGCTGTGCGAGTCAAAACAGGACCCTCGTCCAGATGTGTCTACTTCTGTGAGACATAAGTCTCAGCGAGACCAGTATGCTTCCTCTTAGCATCCTCCACTCATCAAAGGTGCTTATCTCGTCTAGTTAGTTAGGAACCTGATCAAAGGTTCTTCAGGTCTCTGCTGGCTTGGGCCAAGTTTTTTCCCTAACCACTAGGAATTGAGGAACTGTAAATCTCATGCCATTAAAACAGGAGCCAGTAAGGCAGGCTACGCTTGTGCTGGCTCTCGACTGCACATTCCAGTGGCTTAGAAATTGGCACAGTCTGCCGACAGAGTAGAACAAAAGGCACATACAGCTAATTGGAGTTAACTGGAGACAGTGAGAAAAGTGGGGGATCTGTTCATTTCAAAGCGTGAACAGTACAAATGAATTAATACTTTCTTCTCCTTTTTCTCTTCCCCTCTCAGTTAAGTGGATCGGTGTAGGGAAATCCAGAGAGTCTATGATTCAACTCTTCTAAGGATTCCAGGGATGCAAGAAACACTCCGTGAAAGGGGGAAAGGACTTTCTTAAGTATGTCATTAATGTTTCCAAATTTCGAGAAGGCAGACATTGCCGTAGCTGGAAGCCCTACGGCTGTTTCCAGTTTTGTAAGGTGGGTGCTGGGGCGGAGACGCGCTGCGCACGCTCCAGCCGCTCCAGCGTCGGCCTCCTCGGCTGACGGCGTCGCCAAGTCATCTATCTGTTGCTCCTGCTGCTCTTGGTGCCATGTCTTCATTGATGTTTAGAAGTAGAATTTATGTGGTTTGAAATCTAAAACAGAATTACTTTCAGTGTAGTTTTCCTTCATTATTGTCGGTGTATGTTCATAGGTGTTACCTCTATTAAATGATAAGAACAATGAATGCGGTTTTGCACAAATATTTTTACATTCTGATCAGTCAGCTCTGTCATTGTACTCTTTGCTGTTAGGAAAAATGATACGAGAGGAGTTCTGTAAACTTTTGTACTGCTATAAGTTCTGTTTCGATTGTGGACTGTTTATTTTCTGCTGAGACCATTGCGAATTTGAGCTTTGGCGGGGGGTGGGGGGTATATTCATGGATCCTTTCATTTGTACAGAACACAAAACTTATTTCTCTCTATAAATTATTTAATACATTGAACATTTAGTTAAATGTTCAGAGAAAAAGGTGTTCCCTAAAACAATACTGCTAATGTTAAAGAATTGTCATTAAAAGATCTGTTGTGATATTTGGTGAATATTTTTCTTTAACTCTGAAATGTATAGCTTTCCTATTTTGTCTCACTGTTATTTCTAAATCCAATGGGTGGGTTTTTCAGCACTGTGCCTGCTAGTATACCTACAAAATCATCTCTCAGTGTCCAAATGACCCAAAATGGGCGGTCATGCCTTGATTTCTCTTGTCTTGGGAAAAAAGGTGTTATTTTAACAATTAGGCTTAACATATTGTGTTGTAGATTACCCTTCAGTGAACTATTTTAAGTGTTCAAATTAGGTGCCACTTAAATTTATTTTATTATACCATCAATAGCTGATTAAAAAGAACCAGATATTTCTAGTATATTTTGTGTATTGTGTTTTTGTTTTGCTAAGAGAAGTAACAGTATTACTGATACATCACAGAAAGAACTTTATTTCTGCAGAACATCGGGGTGAGGTGGGAAGATCAAAAACAATCTTGGAAAATATCTAAATACCTATTTTTATTGATATCTGGTTCAAAAAATTGTTTTAATTAGACAGCATTGTTGGATTCAAGAAAATCCAACAATGGATTTTCAAGGATCATTATTGGATCCTTTAAAAAAGGATAGGATCTTTGCATAAAAACAATAATTTGTATTTAATATATAATAATTTTTATTTATTCCAGTGGGAGTTGAATGGGCTTTTATTCTTTTTACCCTTTTGTCTTCTTGGACTTTAGGTAGATTAGCCACACAGAGGTGGAAGTTGTGTGAGAAGTAAGCGTATTGAGACCACATTCCGGTCTGGATAGAAGCATCGCTCGACTGGCATATTTTTAGCTCTGGTCCAGGAGCAGATACGGAGAACCCATTCTTTGAGTCAGGAGTGCTCCAGTTTTTTTTCCCCCCAAAAATGTGTAACTTTCCTATTGTGTGATATTTACTCATTTTTTTATTGGTTTGAGTGATTCTCTCCCATTTCTCTTGATGAGGTGCTTGCTGATTAAATTGGTGGAGAGGGTGTTTTTCAGATATAGTTCAGTCGTTAACACAATAGGGAACTATGTTAAAATAATATATCTTTGTGGAACAAGTATCCACAGGAGTCCCCCCGCCGTGCCCACGGGGGTATGTTCCGGGACCCCTCGTGGGTGCCTGGAACCACGGAGTGTGCCGAACCCTCCACACACCATGTTTTTTCCCAGACGTATAGAGCTGTGATCGAGTTGAATCGATGTGTTAGGCACAAGAAGAGATGGACCATAACTAGGAACAAAACAGAATGGTCCCAACAGCACACCGTGATAAATGTGGGAGTGTGGGCTCTCTCACACTCTGCCTCGCTTTGCAGCCCCCACCTCACCCTTCTTGTGGCCGTGTGAGATGACAGCCCACGTGACGGGAGGAAGGGAAGTGGGGCGGACGCTGGACCACGGGCTCATTGCCGGGATGGAGTGGGGTGGCGTGAGCTTCCGTCACGCTGCTCGGAACGACATGCAATTTAAAACTTACAAACTAATGACTAGTGGAAATTTCCATTTAATATTTTCATGCCACAGTCGACCGTGGGTAACCGAAACTGCAGAACGCAAAGCCGTGAGCGAGGGAGGCGGTTACTGTAAGCTGGAATTTGCTAGATGTGCGTGGCAGGGACAAGTACACAGTCTTCCCGGACTGTACCGTAGGGGAGACGACATGGCCAGCAAACAGGGATGAGCGCTGTGACGGGCTGCGGTGGGAAGAACAGGCTGTTAGGAGAACCTGACCCAGACGTGCGAAGGGTCAGAGAAGGCCTCTAGTAGAAATGCATGAGAACAGACCGGAAGGAGCCCTGGCCGGGTGGTTCAGTGGTTTAAGGGTGTTGGCCCCGATTGGCACAGGCTGCAGGTTCGATCCCCAGTCGGGGCGCATACCAGAATCAAACAGTGACTGCATACATAAGTGGAACAACAGTTTCTCTCTCATCAATAAGTAAAAATTAAAAAACATTCAAACAATGAAATGGACTGAAAGGATGAGTAGGCAGAGGGACACTTGGAGAAACTGGGGACGTTGCAGCAACCAGAGAAAGTGAGTGAGGGGCTGGCGAGGCTGCTGTGTGGCCGGGAACAGGAGGCAGGCTGAACCCAGCGACCGAGCCTGTCCCGGCCGAGGGGGAGGGCTGTGGGCCCCAGTGTAGCGCACGGTCACGAGAGCACGGAGAAGCTGCTGGAGCCAAAGACCCACGCTCTCACTTTTAAAGCTCTGGATTGCAGGGCCAGAGATTTCAATGGGGAGGGGGCCTGTTTAGTATAGGAATAGTTTAGTTTATTTATTTTTACTCCAGTCTCCCGTCTCCCTACAGTCCTGTGCCATATCCTGGTTCCTGTACCCACAGCACCTTCAGAGTCACCCTCCATGGTCACATCCCCAGGTTCATTTTTCCCCCCTTGACAGCGATGCCGGCACCGAGCCGACAACCCTATCCTTACTGCTCCCACGTGTGCCCGTTGGACCGACTGCCAGACAGTCTCCCAGCACTGCAGCGAGACTGGTAGAGGCGCTGAGAACAGGTAACAGGGCCTCCTGCAGCCAGGTCTTAATGCCCGGCCCTAGGCTGGCCAACTCAGTCTGCAGAGAATATGCAACACACGTAAGTATTTTAGGGCGGTGGCTGTCCGGATACACGCTGAAATTAAAAGCGGTTCTGCCATCATTATTTTAGTCCACAAGAGTCACCTAAGGACGCCACAGGTGCCCCAGCGCCACAGCGAGTCTGGAAGTTTTCGGTCCAGCAGCAACCTTCTTCAGGATGGCAGAACTCCGGCAGCGACTCCACGAGCGGCCGTGGATTCTGCGAAGCCGTGGCTAATTTCTGGTCCCAGCCTGGAATTTGAAACGAATGAATGCTTAAAGATAGGTTAAAAAAGAACGTCATCAAAGGGTTACTTATGTGGCTCAATCTCTGATTCATTTTTTTTTCAGAGGTTTTATTTATTTTTAGAGGGGGGAAGGGAGGGAGGAAGAGAAATATCAGTGTGTGGTTGCCTCTCATGTGGCCCCCACGGGGAACCTGGCCCACTGTCCAGGGATGTGCCCTGACTGGGAATCGAACCAGCGACTCTGATTTGCAGCCCACACTCAATCCACTGAGCTACACCAGCCAGGGCTGATTCATTTTTATTGGATTAATGCAAAAATGTAAATAAAATAAATCACATAAATTCTAGACCCCCACCCTGCAAGAAAACTCTTTAAGCCTTCCATTATAAATGGGTCACTTTGTATTCTCTTTGTGTCCAACTGCAGTTGTTAACATCCCTAAATTCGTACCCACTGGAATTCTCTCATATAACCTCCTGTCTGTAATCGCTAATGGTTCTGCTTACCACAACTTCAGGGTTCAAGGACGGCTTGCGGGGAGCACCGCCATCGTTGCACCCACAACCAAGGCCAGAATGTTTCAAGGGCCGCATCGCAGCAGAATTTTGCACCCGTGGCGCCGTGCACTGTACTGGGTGTTTTGCTCACCTTAACCCTGATGTTGTCCGTAACCCTCGGAGGCCCACTGACATTACCACCGTTTCAAAGAGACGAATTAATCTGCCCAAATTTACAGGACTGGGAAGAAGAGGGGCCCACATCTCTGATCCAGGATGATCAAGCCGCTACATCCCTAATGTTTTCACAGTTCTGTTCTCCTCCCATAGCACTTCAAACACATTCACAGGAACAAACATTTCTTGGTATAAGAATGGATAACATGCCATTAACCCAGGGAGTATGACCAGAAATACCATCCCTGGAGGATTTTTAAAATCTAACTCGATTGCATGATCCTGTGTGTTGTCAGTAGCCACACAGCTTCTCCAGGCTTGTTTAGGATTTAAATAGTGACTCTGACCTTGAGGATTCCAGGGAAACATTCGGGTAGTGTAGAAGTGTGAGAAATCCTACCCAGCAGCCTTAGTGGTCTTTGTTGTAGGAGTTACAATGCAGCTGAATTACACACATATTTAACCAGGTGAATTCAACAATAAAGGTTCTCAGAACCGAAGATGAACTTGGGGGGAAGGGCGCACAGGGTGGTGTTTTTGGGACATTCCATTTAGTGAGTATTATGTATGCCCACAGACAGTGGGTGCTATCAGGCCTGAAATACATACTACAGTTGGGGGTCAAACATGATTTTTACAATAAATTTCTTTACCTCTTGACAAAGTGAAATTACCATTCATGTGGGTTTGTGGTGGTGACTGCTTTGAAAGTCGCTGAGAAATAAATTAATTGAGAGCCATGGAGTCAATTTAACCCACTTGCTGAGGAATCCATGTATTCTAAAGATTTTAGTGATTTATTACCATTTAATGTTATCACTTTGAACACTTTAGGAGATTGTCAAGGATAACTTTGATTATATGTTATAATTGCCTTATGCATTGCTTTTAGAACTTTAAGTGTAAAATGCAATTCTGTTGTTTTAGGTTTTTAAAAAATACATTTTTTATGACATGCTCATTCTTGGTCAGGAATAGTAGCAAATATTTCTGAAGACTTAGTAATCCAAGCCTTAGTTATGCTATATTATGCAAATATCTCAATTTTATGAGGCAGATGACTGTTTTTATTCTTTTTGCAAGTGAGACAACCAAACGTCCAAGAGTGTAAGGGTCACACTGCTACAAACGCATATACTTTATTTTGGAAGAATGAGTTGTCTGCAGTATCTGGCACCAGGGTTAGTAACACAAGGGCAGCTTCCTATGAAGGGCATCTCGGGTGTAAGTTCCCAGAGAACCGTCTTCATGTCCTCTGCTTTGTCTTGCACACAGTCAGGGCTTTATAAATGCTTCCGAATCAATAAATGAACCTCTAGGTGCCAAGAAGGAATTTTTCCTGAGCAAGAATTTCTAAAGCAATCTACATATATCTAAAAACTATGAGTAGGTTATAATGTATAGATTATCTATAGATCATATCTATAGATATTATAGATTATGATGATACATATTTAGGTTACATTATGTGATATAGATGATAACCTATTTAATCTGCTCAATAACTCCCAAATAAAAACTGGACATAAAAAGCAAGTCATTGCTAGTCTAGACATGCTTTGCCCTTAAACTTGACCTCAACAACTGGTCAAAAGCCTACACCTTCATACACTATGAAAGGCCTTCCCCTACAGACCCCAAGGAGTCAGCTTCCTGATTTAAGCCAATGCTTCATTCAGCCCCTGCCCTTTTCTCCATCCATGCCCAGGTTGGTGACATTTCTCTGTTAAGTCTCCTGCAGACCCTGCTGTTACCCCCTGGTTGCTGAACTTGGCTGCACAGTGGAATTAATCTGGGGAGCTCTAAAAATTGCTCATGGCTGCCCTATGCCCACCTCCCGCCCCAGGAGACTCTCACTGAGTTGGTATTGGGTGTGTCCTGGGCATGTGGGTTTTTAAAAGCCATGTAGCAGAGGGCGAGGACCTTTAGCCGAACCACTGCCATGGTCTCCTGACTCTGCATTCGACCTTGTCTCACTCCACTCCCCTGTGCCTGCTTTCCTTCTCCACAATTGGAGTGATCTTCTCAAAATGCAGTTTTAATCCCATCACTTCCACCCTCCTTAACACCTTTCAGCAGTTTTCCATGATCCCCGGACTGGAGGCCAAACCTGAAAATGGCCTGTACAGCCCTTGACCTTGCCAGCTCTGGCCACACCCTGCTTCGCCCTCTCTGATTCCTGGAGCCAGCACTCTGATTTATTTTTTAGTTCCTCAAACCTGTCATGCTTTGATCACAGGGCCTTTGCACCTGCCGCCTCTCCGGGATGCTCTTCCCCGCCCCCACCCTTGCCTAGGCGTCCTCAGGGAAACCCTTGGACTCTTCCCTGATCCCGAAGCAACACGTTGACCCCTTCAGAGCTTTTCTGGTGGCTGAGATTGTATTTCTGCCCGCCTCCCCCTGAAGCGCCTCAAATGGAGACATTTTGTGTCTACTTTTGCTTCATTTTGTGTTGCCAAACCCTAGCACACAGACCTGCCACAGAAGGGCCACAGATGAAGGAATGAAAATGCACTCGACATCAAATCGAGCTTCGAGTCCGGCTGCTGTCACCTCCAAAATACGTCTGGGATCCATGCATTCCTTTCCACCTTCCCTGCGGGCAGCGCCATCACCTCCGGTCCAAACGACCAGCGAGCTTCCTCAGGGGTGCGGTGCCCTCCCTCACGTGCCTCCAAACGGAGTCTGAACCAGCAGCCGGAGGTGTCTTGTTCAAGTGCAGATGACTTCTCTGCCTCCCATTGACCTTAGAGTACAGTCCAGCATCTTGCCCTTGTCACCGGGCTACCCTGACCCCGTTCTCTCCTTACATAAGCTGAGCCCTTTCCAGCTGCCCCTCTTCTGCACTTAATGGTTCCCTTTGCCTTTCCGTGCTCCATTTTTTCCAGGGCTCGGCTAAAATCTCCTGACTGCACTGTTAGCAGTTACCTCCCTGTCCTGACCTGCGTGGCTCAGTTGGTTGGGTGTCAGCCCACAAAGTGAAAAGTCCCCACTTCGATTTCCCTTGGGGGCACCTTCCTGGGCACCTTCGGGCCGCGTCCCCGGTCCGGGTGTGTATGAGAGGTGTGTGAGACGGGTCAGTGTTTCTCCCTCCCTTCCTCTCTCTGTCTCTCTCTAAAAATTAATAATATATGTATATATTTTTAAAGTCTACCTCCCTGACCCATGCTCGTCGCCTTGCTCATTCCCCATGCAGCACTACTACAATCTCTAATTTTAAAAACTGCTCTTGGTTATGTTCAGTATCTGCCGCCAGAAGGTCAGCTCTGGGACAGCAGGTGTCCGTGGTCCCGGGTCCCTGTGCCTCCAGCTCCATTCCCGTGTCCAGATGCTCACGGGGGCCTCTGGCAGTGACCGAATGATTGCCAGTTTCCAAGGTGGACCCCAAGGATTCCCACCCCCGGAGTCCGGGCCTGGCGTGGTCCCCTCTCACACTGCTTCGGGGCTGGCTGTGCCTGCCGCTTCCCTTCCAGGCATGTCCTGCTCCGCCCATCTGCCTTGTACTTCCCCCTTCCGCCCCCTACTTTGCCCACTCCGCCCCCATTCTCACTGCTGAGTCTCCCCATCCTCCACACCTCACTACCCTCATTCCCATCTGGCACTCTAGGTGCAGCGTCCCCGTCCTAGGTGTCCCCATTTCTTCTCCACCAGGCACATCGTATCCATCAAGGCCCAGCTCAGCCCCCACTGGCGCCTGCTGCTCTGCCGGCTGTTGTGTTGTAGGCCCCAGCGATCTCAGCCTTGAACTTTTGCCCCCCTGCCTGGTACTTAGCCGGGATGAGCCTGTGGTTGCCACATCTTCCCAATTAGATCACGGGCTCCCTGGGGCTGAGGTTATAGCCTGGATTTCCTTCTTCCTCCTCCTGTGGCACCTGGCCCCAGGCCAGGGTCGTAGGAGTTGGTAAATATTTAACTGTTTTGCTAATGTTCACCTGGTTCTACAGGTTTGGAAAGAAGTAGAAATTGTCTCCTATAATAAACAAGGGGTAAAACCTTTCATGTCTGTCTTTCTAACAAGATTTCCTCCTAGCAGAGGAACTGTCAGAACGGTCCAGTTTACTATCGCTTTGGAAACCAGAGGCCCTCCTGGATCCTCCCATTCCGAGGAATGGATTTCATACTGGGTCAGAGTTGAAAGGACACACTGCCCAGCCCGGTCTGTGGGGACAGGAGCCGTCCACAAACCCACCCACCTCTCCTTCCCACCTGCTCCTCAGCCCCGGGCGGCTTCTGCTCTCCCAAGCCTCACGCACCCTTCCTCCATCACCTACACCCACAGACCACCCTGGCTTCCTAGGATGTCACCCTCCGGAGGCCTCCTGTGGGACCCCAACTGCTGCCTCCCTGCACTTCCAGCACCTCCGTCCCTAAGTGGCTGGCACGCAGCCCCCGGCTCCCCCCTCCCTGCCCAAGCTCCAAGCTTCCTCATCTCCCAGAACCCAGCTTTGCCCTTTTACCCCCAGCTCTGCCTGGCAATCCCTGGCCCCCAGTGCAGCTCTGTCTGTTGCCACCCTCATCCCTGGCTCAGCTCCCCCGACATCTGCCTGGTCCTGTTCAGTTCCCCCTCTTCCTGCGGTTGTTTGCTGTCCCTTTGGGATCCGAGTCCCGGCCTCGTGCAGCCATTCACCAGGGCTGAGAGCTCTTTTCTCAGGGGAAAAAGAAGGAAGAGAAGCCCCTTCCCCACCTCCCCTTCCTTCTGGAAGTTTTCTTATTTTTTTTAAAGTGAATATAAAGGGACTCACTTTAAAGAAATCTACTAAGCAAATAGTAGCACACATGACACTCAACTGTGACAGAGGCCGTTTCGTTTCAAGGTCAAGTGCAGAGCTTGACTGTGTCTAAATTCTGGGTCTGAAATGTCCTAGGTCTGCATCTGGCTCCCCCTGCCTATTGTGGGCTAATTTGGGGCTAGTTCATTAACGGTCTGCAACCCGGGGTCCCCCACTGGAAATTGGGGTAAGTACATACCTCAGAGAGCTGTGATGAGGGCCAAATACATACCTGCCTCAGGGTGAGAGCCCTAGAAATGGCGGGGTTCGTTCATTCATTTAGAAAGGTTGTCAGTGAACTGATTCATTCTACTCAATGCAATCCAGAGCCCCGTGACTACAGAAACACAGGACATATTTCACTTGGTGCCTGTGTGTCCCCAGGGTCATGGCCTTGGGGGAGCCTGGCTCCGTAGCCCCCTCGCACATTCTGCCGCATAGAGAACTATTACATATGGACTTAGAATTTTTTAAAGATGTCGCCAAATGTCAGATAATGGTCAGAAAGCCATTTAAAATAGGAGAATGAGGAAATCAAGTTTCTTCAACAGTATGTGAGGAGGAAGCAGACCGGAGCCTGCCTCCTCTCAAAGACATTTATGCGTTTTAGTTCATGAAGTCTGCACAGGTGGCTAGGACAGGAGGGGGCAGCCCTTAGGACCGGACTCTAAATCAGGGGCGTCAGACTCATTTTCACCGGGGGCCACATCATCCTTGTGGCTGCCTTCAAAGGGCTGAATGTAATTTCAACTCCTTACGAGTTAGAGTAGTTACACAGATCCAGTCCTGAATTATCAGGGCCCTTTGAAGGCAACCAGGAAGCCGATGTGGCCCTCGGTGACAATGAGTTTGACACCCCTGCTCTACATTTTCTCTGCACCTGGACACATGCGCACCCCTCCCCCGAACATGACTGGTCCCAGACACGCAGAGATGGCCATCCCAAGGGCAGTGCCTTCTCTGTGATCCAGGCAAGGTTGATCTCAAAGAGTAAGAGCGTGACCTGACTTACCAACGTTGTAAAATGGCAGACAATAGTCTCTTTGGTACGTGGTTTCTTTATACCATGGTTCTGCAGGCTCTGAATGTCTTCGAAAACAAATGTATCTAGTGAGGGTCCGTTGGTCTAATTGAGGCGGACATCGACCTTCTCTCTCGGGTGGGATTGCCAGGTCTGTGAAAGGTCTAAGTGAAAACAGAAACAGCTTGCTGAACACTCAGCTGAAGAACAGCATTCCATTTTCTCAGCGGCTGAAATCCACTCCCCAGAAGCAGCCAGGAGGTTACCAAGACAGTGTTGGCAAGACCCCCAGCGCAAGGCCACCCTGACCGGTTTGTCAGCTGGTGGCTCAGGGACTGCAGTCCCTGTTCCTCCTGTGCAGGCCCCTCCTCTCCCAGCCACAGGTCACAGAAGACAACCTGCTTCAAACCTTCCCCTGGGCCTGCTTCCCGATGCCCCTTCCTACTGAAATTTTTCTATGGTGTTTGGTTTCTCAAGGAACCAGCGCTTTCTTTCGGCCAGACTAACCGCTATGGGGCATATTGGTGTTTGATGAATGTGGAATCCCTTGGAACCCTCCCGCACTTCCTGTGAAGGGGAAAGGAAAGAAGAAGGAAGATGTGATGTGAGACAGCCCCACGCACTGTGGGGGCACACGCACTGTGGGGGCACACGCACTGTGGGGGCACACGCACTGTGGGGGCACACGTCCTCTGTGCAGCCTGCCTGGGAACGCTCCGTGACAGGCGTAGCACCTTCGGAACGTGCGTGAGTTTTGTACCAGCAACTCCAGAAATTAGGGGTGCCAACAAAGACATCTCCAACAATGCTCCTCAAATATTTCCATGGCAATAAAAAGAGTAGAAACAACCTTCACGTGAAAAAAACCCCCAAATTATTTAGAAAATGATACCTATACAGGAATATTCTGCCAATGCTAAAAGTGATGCTATAGAAATATATACCACATCTTTACTCATTCATCTGTCAGTGGATGTATGTATATATGTGTATTACATATAATACACATATATACATACACATACATATATGTGAAATACTATGCAGTCGAAAAAGGAGAAAATTCTGCCATTTGTGACAACATGGATGGACTTCGAGGGCATTATGCCGAGTGAAAGAGACACAAAGACAAATACTGTGTGATTGCCCTTATATGTGGAATCGAACAAAATCGAACTCCTAGGAACAGAGAATAAAATGGTAATCTCCAGAGGTGGGCCTGGGGGTGAAGAAGCTGCTAAGAGAGTAAATATGAAAACTTCTCAGGACAAGAAAGAAAATTTGTAACTATATGAGGTGATCAATATTAACAAAACTCGTTATAGTACATATATCAAACCATTGTCTTATACGTTAAACTTACACGATATAATATGTCAACTATATCTCAATAAAACTGGAAAAAAGGGGGTTTCAAAATCCTATCCCTTCCTACTTTGTGCAGACCTGGAAGCTTCTGCATGATTATCTATCTCCAGGTGATGACATTATGGGTATTTTTTGATGTTTTGATGATAAATGTTTTCTAAATATTTTAATAAATGTGTATTTTGAAACTATGAAACACAGGAGGTGAGCTGCTCTAGGTGTAAAAATATTCAATATTAGATGAGCTTTAGGAACCTTAAAATCCGATCATTCGGTAGTAAGACGTAGTCTTAGTTGCCTGTATCCCCGTGACCGGTCACACTGAAATGAGGTGACGATACTGCTTAGTCACACCATGCTCTGTTTACACACTAGGGTACACATTCAGTGGTAAGGAGCCTTTTTTAAAGAGCGTGTGTTAGCAGAGATGAAGTAGCTCAACTAAAGTACAGAAAAAGCAAGAGCATAATCTGACCATAGGTGTGCCATTCAGGACAGAAGACAGGTGCGCTGGGTGGCACAGGGTGTTCTGCGGCAAGGAGACACAGGAGAGCACCAGGAACTCCCACCGCCTCTTCTATTCTATCTTATTTCATGGTTGACAGGTACTTGTCCTGTCAGGTGGTACATTTCCACGATGGGCAGCAACACACCTTTCCCTACAAAAGCGCATCTCCCACTGGCAGTCCCAACAGGAGCTGCCTGATGGACATGCCCCGAGGGCTCTGTGAGTTGGGTTCTGTGCGAGTACCAGTCTGTCACTTCTGTGCTGGCCACTTGCTTCCGAGCCAGATCCTGCCGATGGCTGCTGAATCTAATCCTGCTGGGCTGCCTCAGCCCTGGGTGTTTCTGTGGAACCCGAATATTCTCCATCAGTGTCCTTCTGAAGACAAGGCTTTCTCTCAGAGGAGGGACTCTAATCCTGAAAATACTACTTGGTAGAGGAACATGTCCGGAGAGGGTAAGCCATGAGGGACCCTATCAAGTTACGCTGTGCCTACAAGAACTGAAGTTAGGATCGGTCCAAAGAGCTGCATTATATTCTGCTTTCTGAATTTTAAAAAGAATTTATTTTTGGCTTTGCTTTTCCTTGTTATTATTCTTAAACTAGTAGTTTAATGAAGCCATTGATTACCATGAGCACTCAGTTTTCCCTTACGGCTAATCTCGGGCAGGCGCAAGTCTGGCCAGAGGCAAGTAGTAGACCAAGGTTCCCTCTGCCCGGGCCATCCTGCGTGGGAGGGCTGGCGTCTGGGTACAAGGGGTTGGAGTTGGGGGAGTTGCCCGAGTCCTCAGGACACACGTGGACAGTGCCCCGTGGAATTGGACTGGCTGCGGGGCCCGTCCGCTCTTTTCTTGTCTGCCCTCTGGCAGAGGACGTAACCCTAATGAGAGCTTAATGTACGTAGTGTTTGAGTTGGAACAAAGGGCTTCGAACTAGGGATCAGAAAATGTGGAAAGATTCTTGCACTGCATTTTACTCATCTAGTTGGATTAGAATGACCTTCAGGGCTACTTCCAGTCTGATTCTCTGTTCAGTTTAGACTCTTCGCTGCTTTACAGACGCCCTTGGCTTTGCATGGAGGATAATCAGGAACTGACTCTATCGAAGGTGATTAAGAGACAAAGAGAAATTTGTAAAATATACCAGAGGAACTCAAAATAATAGCAACTGTATTTTGAGTGCCTACTGTGCTCTGGAATTATATAGCAATTATTTTGTTCATAACAGATAAGAACACTAAGACTCAGAGAAGGAATGAAAATTGCCCAAGAGCAAACATTCAGTCAGTTACTCAAATTGCTGCTTTTAACTACGGTGGTTCTCAGTCTCTGCAAACTAGAAAATGACATCAAAGTACCCTTGTTGTTGTTAAAATTATACCCATCAAGGCAGAAACCACTGGGCCAAGTTTGTGATTTTACTGAGAAGGAAACTAAGACTCAGGAAGGTCAACTAAACTCATGGTGTTTAAATTCCTAAGATAATTTAATAAAATTATACAGTTATTGCTGATTATAAGAATAATATATGTTCATTAGAGAAAATCTGGAAAATAAACAAAAAGATACAAATACCAATAATCTCACCACTCAGAAATAACTGTTGTTAACGATTTGGTGTATTACCTTCTAAACATTTTGTATCCATTACATAATAATAATTACTGTTGCTCTCATTTTTATTATTAGAAAATGTGATTCCCACTTAAAAAATTTACCATTCCAACTTTAGTATAATTTTTGAAAATTAAGATTTAGAGAAGTGTCTTACCTGGGAGATGTCATTACGCAGTAGTCCAAATGGGCTCTCGCCAGCTGCCCAGGGAGGTAGCCCCGCAGGTCCTTCCCTTGACGAGCGATGGACGTGCTGGCGGAGGAAGGAGGGAAAGGGAAAAACAGTGACCGCAATCGGCTCCGCACAGAGAAACACCGGCGGGGGCGTCGTGAAAAGAGGCTCGGTCTTTGTCCCCAGTTCCTTGCACAGCTCTCGCTCCTTGGACTTTCACACTGTTAATTCTTTTTTATTTCACGGTGCACTTTCGTTTATTTATTTCAATTACAGTTGACATTAAATATGATATTACATTTAGGTGTATAGCATAGCGATTAGACATTTATATAATTTATGAAGTGATCCCCCCAGTAAGTCGGGTGCCCACTTGTGATGACAATATTACTGACTGTATTCCCTATGCTGTATACCCTTAGGCTTTCCTGATAAGAGGGTCTTTTGTATCCATTTTTCAGCAATCATAAGGAAATATTTGACATGACAGATATTAGGTTCAAAAGCAGGAAAGAAAAAAAAAAACAAAACTAGATGATACTTAAAACCAGTGGGGCAAATGTTGATCATTGTCGAAAAATGGGAATTGAAAAAAGGGTGTTTCTTATATTGTTTTTTCTACTTTGGGTATTTTTACAAACTATCACAAGTTTTTTTAAACAAACCAATACTGCATAGGGTCTAAAAATGAAGAAACACTGGGGTGGTCTTCTCAGCCTGGGAGGGCTGGGTTTGGAGGAAGGTCTGGAGCACAAACAAGAAGGAGTGAGGTGGAGACTGGCGGGAAGTGCTTCCGGGGCGTGGAGAGGAGCCGGTGTGGGTGCGGCTGTAACTCACCATATGGAGGGAGACAGGGCTGGAGGTAGTGCTACCCATACCTCATCTTTGAAATATGTCTCATTTTAGGATGCATAACTTTTCCTTTTAGTTTATCGCTGAGCATTCTACGGACATTTTAAAATTATGCGTCATTTGATTCTGTTATTTACAGATTTTATTTCTAAGAGAGGTAGGGACATTAACAAAAATACTTGTTATATAAAAAAAGGGAATGTTGCATCTGAAAGGTTGAGAACCACCAATGGAGGGAATAGGGAATCTTAGGAAGGTATTTTTTAAAGATTAATGAAATAATACAATTTTTATTTTAGATTTTTGCTGGTGGTGGGAAACATTTGAGGGCCATCTGACTCAAAGTGGGAAGACTGGTTTAGAGACATGGCACAGCTCTGAGCTGTGTGTTGGAAAGGTGGGTGGAGAGGACAGGACTGAGAGGGGAGACGCCGGGAGAGAGGATTGAGGGGAAGGACAGAGGAGCTGCCGGAGACAAGTCGCAGGCTTCAGGCGTAGGAAGGACGCTGCCCCCCGCAGGAGAGGGGGCACAGGGAGATGACCATTGTGGTCTTTGGGACCTTCCACAGATTCGGAGGCCCCGGTAGGTGCCGTAAGAATTCACGGAGGAGAGTCAGCGGAGAGTAGAGTATAGTTTTGGATGAAGTGGCTCGCCGATACGTGCCGGGTGATAAATGGAAACTTAAGCAAACCACGTCTCCAGTCCACACTTTCTGTATTGAATGCATGTAACCTGCTCTGTACTCCCTGCTAAGTTCTAACTGACTCAGAAGCCATTCTCGTCCCCGACATGCTCATTAGAGGTTGAAATCGTGATCTCAGTAAAGGTCAGTGGATGGAGAAGAGGGTCAGGTGTGTAGGGTTTGGGCTGGTAAACAGGACGGGGAAGGGGCGCCAGGTGAGGGCAATTTCAGACTTGCACAGAGCGAGGACCAGAGCGGAGCGTGTGGGGGTTGGTGGGGTCTCGGCCGCCTACAGTGTGACAGGCAAGCACTGTGAAGAGGGTGAGTCTGTCTGTCCGCACGCAGGACCTCAGGGAGCTCAGATTTTCCGAGAAACCACAGGCTGCCCGGGCCTGTCCGGTGGTTGGGATAACAGGACCGAGCTCTGGAGAGCTCACAACAGCGGGGGCTGAGTCACAAGAAGAGAGAGGAACTGGCCCAGTCCTAGGGAACAAGTGACATTCCTGAATGCGCCTGAGTGGGACACCTCGCTTTTGTAGGCGCCCTTCCAGTTTCTGAAGCACGGCCTTGGAAACGGTTACCCCAGGGCCACGTCACAGCTCATTAGACCCGAACGGGAGTTTCCAGAACGACGCCGGCTTCTCACGGTCGCTGGGTAGTCTGTGGGGGGGCCGCGTTCGGGCCCTGCAACTCTTCAGTAGGGGCGCACACAGCAAACGCCACCTGAATGCAGGTAGTAACCTGAGCACAGGTCCTCAGGGGCAGTCAGCACAAGCTGTTCTGAGCATGGAAGAGCCTTTCGCCAGCGCCAGGTAACACGCCCACCATCGGTCCCTTGGCAGAGTCTCTGGGCCGGTTTTGGCCCAGGAGCAGAGAGTGGGGTGTGTTTCAGCAGGGGGTGGGGTGGGGGCTGGGTGGAGAAGCAGGTTTGGGGGACGAAGAATCACACCCTCACCTCTAACCCCTTGGGTAACTTTCCAGCCTCTCTGATGTGGCCTTCACCTCAAACGGGAGAAAGCTTCCGAAGGAGAGGTTTGGGGAGAGAATTTTTACCTTCTAAGGGTCATTGCCGAGTCAGGCATGTCAGCCAGTGCCCGGCGTCCCCCGAGGCGGGGCAGGCGTGGGCCAAACAGTGAAGGGCTGCAAAAGCACGTGCCAGCTCTGCACACCCGGCCCGGGAACCCCGCCTGGGACCGGGCTCCCATCGAAGGACTGGCTCGGCTTTCAGGATTCTTGAATCGGGGGTGAGGGGAGGTAGAGGGGGTGACAAATATGATGGAAAGAGACGTGTCTTTGGGTGGTGAACACACAATATACAGATGGTGGATTATAATATACAGATATAATATACAGATGGTGGATTACAGAATTGCACACCTGAAACCTATGTCATTTCATCAACGGATGTCACCCCAGTAAATTCAGTGAACAAGACAGGAGAAGATTCTTGAATCAGCTGTACAGAGGCCTTTCCTTAGATGGGAGCAGGAGTCCCATGTAAGGAACCCATCTCCGACTGCACCATGTGTCGTTTACCCGTCCTGGACGCCTTGGCTCTAGGAGGTGAAGTGTCCTATTCAGACAAGAGCACACGCGTCCCCTGGGAGGGTGAGTGTAACTGGAGCAGGGTCTGGGTTTGGCCGCAGGCAAAATTCAATGTGCACAGGGGCGTTGCTTGGCCCTCAACGGCCCGAGTCAGCTGCGTCACTGTGACTATGCAATGTAGTTCTTATTATGAAAATTTGAATACAATTTTTAATACAAAATTCTGCGTGGTCACTACTACTCGTGAACCGTTTTAATAATTTGTTTTATTAGGTGCCCCTACTGGTTTGTAATTCAGTTTTCCCTAATATTGGCTGGCCCCTTACCTTGGGCAGATAAGGACTGGATAAATGCCTGTGCAAATGATAGCAGGAGGGCGGGTCTTCTCCAGGGGCTGTCAATCACCAGGAAACCAAACCGTAAATAAATGACAGAATGATTTTTTTCTCACTGATGCAATCATTTTCATTTTTTTCAAGACATGTGCATTGGGGCTACCAGGCGGGGTTATGCAGGGATTCTGCAGCTAGGCAGAGGTTATGATGGTGAGGTGTGGAGAGAGACAGACAAGCCCACCTAGGGCAGCAAACCCAGAGGGTGGCGAAGGGCAGGGATCAAGAGCACAGAGGCGGGAGCGAGTCTGGTGGGCTCAGATTTTGCCTCTGCCAATTGCTTACTTGCTGTGGGATGTTGGGTTGCCACTTAACCACTCAGGGCCTCAGTTGTCCCTCCTTATCGGCGCCTCACAGTCGTTGGGAAGATTAACTAAGTTAATGTGCCTTTAGCACCGTGCTTACCACGGGATAAGAGCTGCATGAGAGTTAACTATTATTCCAGTGGGTGAGACCAACAAGTAAAGTAAGTTGTGAGAAGGGCCACTGCGTCCCGTCTCCAAAGAGGGTGGAGATGGAGAATAACAGAAGTGGAGAGGTGGGGGCAGGTGAAGACCTTCTCCAAACAGAGGGAGTCAGGAAGGGCTCTCTGAGTGGCTGACAGTGAGCTGAGCCCTGCTGGCTGAGGTGGGGCTGGTTAAGACAAAGCAGGCCCAGGAGGGGGCGGGGCAGCCATCCAGGGAGAGGGAACGTGTCCAAAAGCCCTGAGCTACGAAAGCGTGTGGCCTACTGAGAGAATGGAAGAAAGACAATGGGGTTTTGTAGAGTGGCAGGGTCAGCCCATGGAAGGCTTTGTAGATTCTGGCAACGAGTTTGGGTTTTATGCAAAATGCCATGACTGCAGGGTTTAATGCAGGGCGGGGGTGGCTTTGGCCTGATTTGTATTTCACGAAGCTCACTCCAGAGAATGGATTGCAGGGGGACAGGCGTGGTGGCTGGTGTAGGTCAGCATGGTGGTCTGGGCCAAGTGGTAGCAGTGGAGATGGTGGAAATTATCCCCCTGGGGGACCTGTGCAGGGGGCAGGATTGAGGGACCTGCTCATGGATTGGACCCACTGCTGTGGCCGAGGCAGAACGTAGACAAAACCCCACTCCGGGGTGAGCACTGAAGGCGGGGGGCACCCAGCCTGTCTCAGACCGTGTGCCTCCTCCTGGGCCCTGATGCAAGACCACGGAGACCTGAACCCAGCCCCGCTTGGGGACTTCAGTGCCTGTCACACATGTCCCACCTAAATTCCCAGGCTCCCCACCAGCTGGCTGCGGCCAGGCCCAGGGACCAACTTCGTTCCACTGGGCTCCAGGCAGCAGCCACAAAGGGAAGTTTGTTTCCATTTTCCCTAGGGCATGAGACCACAGTAAATACGCCCAACTGCGGGCAAAACAGACCTCAAACACGCATAGAACAAAAACGCCTGGGAAACAGGAATCAGGAGGTACTGGAGCCCACCTGCTCCCTCCTCTCACGGTCTCGGGGAGGGAAAGGGGGCTCTGAAGAATACCTAGGACCCAAGCATCCTTCCCTTACCCCTCTCCCTTCTTCAGTAATTTCTGGAAGCAGGAGAACTTGTCTTTGTTGACAAACTGTTGCTCAAGTTAATACTAGAATAAAAATGACGCTTGCTCAAACCCACGAAGGGGCTGCAGGAGGCTGACCCCAAAGTCACTTGCTGTGTGCCCCTATTTCATAGTTTGTGAATCCCTGTAGATCCCAGGGTGAAGAAAGCGTGGGGTTAGGATTTCCAGATTGTTATACAGTCTCTCCCAGCAAGATGAACTTAGGCCAATACAACACGCCAAGGACTTGTTATTTTTAGGCCATGGATGTACTTGGAGAGAGAGTGGAACTCGTCCTTAGTTTCTGTCTGTGCAGTTAACCTCCCACATGGCAGAAGCACAGGAGCCATTTGCACGATTCTGAGCAGAATAAAGGGTCCCTCATTCTTTTTGCTAAATTCTTTCCCAAGCAAAACCAATGCCCTTCAATCTTTTGGGAATTTGGAGCTGCTTCTTTGCTTGGATTCTGCCTCCAGTGTGGGATTTTTCTTTTTCTTTTTAACTACTAAACCCATTAGAACTCTCTGGCAGCCACTGCCTGTCAATCACAGGGCAGCAGGGTGAGCAATTCCAATTCCCCAGGTGCCTGTCTGTGTCTGGAAGAATGTTACCTGGGTGGGATCCCTGGGCGGTGGTCAAGAAATGTTCGTAGCTGGATGGCAGACATGATGAATGAGATTCTGGGGGAAAAAAAGTGAAGGTTCACATGGCAAGTTTATGCACATTCTTAGGTGTGAGCTACCTGGTACTACAAAGACCTTTTATCCATAGCTTCTGCTAGACTATTTAGGGAGAGAAATAGACTAGTAAAGGAGCAAAAAGAAATTGCAAGCATAAGCCAATGCATACAGATATGCTGTTCTTTAAAAATAAAAAATACTGTGCCAGTTGGGTACTTAGCCCTCATTCTCATGCTTGTTAGGGTACCTTCCTGTTGCACTAGCTTTCAGGCTGAGTGCTACAGTTCCCAGACTCCCTTGCAGCTAGAGTTCTGATATAAATTGGATTCCTCTGATCAGATATATGTGAGTGAGATGTGAAAAGTGGAAATGAGATCGAGGCCATTTCTTGCTGGTTTGACCTTTTTCTACTGGCAAGCTAGGGTGTGAAGGTATGGCATGTGTTTTTGTGCAGTGAAACTCCATTGCCTAATCTTCAGCTTTGGGGGCGTCAAGAAACAATTGCACTGAAGGCAGCAAGTGCTGTGAGTGTGGAGAGGTGGCTGCAATGGCAGTGGTGGTGGCTTTCCTAGTAGATTCTTGAACTCAGTTGTTCTGGAAGCAGCTTCCTGATTAGGGCATAAGTAGCTACTTCCATGATGGGTCAATGTGTGGAGATGTTCTAGAACATTCTTGGAGGCCTTCCCTAGAACCTACCCCTCCCGTCCTCCCAATGATTCTGTGAGTATCTCATTATCTATGTTAAACCCCTTCTATTTTTTATAGTGACCCTGAACGTAAATATATATTTTTTTCTGGTACAAATTTTCATATTGCACATGATTATGTACTGGAGAAGAAGACTTGCCACAGAAAACCACTACCTGTGAATATTTGCCTGAAAGAGCCAACAGCACGGAGGGAAACTGAGTGCCTGGGGGACAAAAGAGGGAGAAAACCCTACTTTTCACTTACTTTCAGTTTGTGGTTTCTATGCTGCTTACGAATGTTGTAGTATGTGTATGTATTATATGTACACAGTTACGCACAGCTTAGCGACGGGGACATGTTCTGAGAAACCTGTAGCGAGGTGATTTTGTTGTGCGAACGTCATAGAGTGAACTTACACAGACCTGGGTGGCACAGCCGCACCCTGCAACATGTGAGCCAGACTTTTCCACAACAGGCAGTGTGGTGGGTTTGTTCACACCGGCGTCACCCCTAACGTGGGAGTAGTGAGCTGTGCCACAACGTTACGGTGGCTGCAGTGTCACCAGGTGGTAGGAATTTTTCAGCTTCATTATAATCTTGTGGGACCACTGTCATGTCTATGGACCATCACTGACCGAAACACCACTGTGTGGTGCGTGACTGGATGAAGACAGCTGAGCCTCTGGTGTACGCGCGTGTGGCAAACAGGAAAACACCGCACTGAGACCCCTGTGACCTGTGGCTGCATGTTCGTGTCCCCTCTGAAACTCATACGTTGAAACCCGAACCCCAGTGTGATGAACGGTATTAGGAGGTGGGGCCTCTGAGAGATGATTTCTTTGAGAGGCATTCAGGTCCTGGGGATGGAGCGCTAGTGAAAGGGATTAGTGCTTTTATGAAGGAGATACAATGGGGGTCCCTGGCCCTATTTCTACCATGTGAGGACACAACAAGGAGTTAGCAGCCTGCAACCCAGAGGACGGTCCTTGCCAGAACCCAGCCACCCCATCACTCTGAGCTTGGACGTCCATCTTCCAGAACAAGGAGAAATAAATGTCTGTGGTTTATAAACCACCAATCTGTGATGGCTTGTTATGACTGCCCGGACAGACCATAGTCCCTGCTCTATGTGCTGACGACCACAGTACCTGTCTGGAGGATTCAGCGAGGCAATGATGTGCATGTGAGTGTTTGAACCTAAAGAGCACCTGTGAGAAGAGAAGCAGGAGTTCTACGTGAGAGCCTGAATTATGCATTAGCCGGCCTGTATTAATGCAAATTGGCCTCTCAGAAACCTTGCAGACTGTTACAGCTCTTTTGCCAACAGGAAGTACTGAGAAGTAAAGTAACTTGTACAATGTCACTGGAGAACCAGGACTGAGACCGTTTGGCTCCAGAAACATTTATCTTAACCGCTATCGTTATATCGAAAGCGTGGAAAGAACTACAGAGTACCCGGGCCATCAGCCAAAGTAAAACCGGGGTGACCCGAAAGAAGCAGTAAGCAGGAGGAAGAGAGGACTGGGCTGAATGTGGGATGCGTCTCTCTCTCCCTCTTTTATAGTCAAAACCGGACTCATTGCCCACAGGCCCCTTAGCTGCTTTATTTCACCTCTAAGTTTTTTAAGCACCTGAAAACATGTCAAACAAGATTGCATTAAAACAATCATTTGGCAATCCTGTGGAACCTGTTGGTTATATAACATGTTTTTGCCCTTGCTGGTGGGATTATAAAACAAAAAGAAAGGGAGAAAGAACCAAAGAGAAAACCTGAGTCAACACCATGCAGCTTTGTAGCTGACAGGCCGGAGAGCAGAATGCGAGATATTCAGGACACGTGTGCTCCTGACAGCGACAACAGCAAGTGTGACTTTGATGACGGAGCGGCGGCTCAGAGCCGAGACACTGAGTCAGCGCCACGGCCCTGGCTCGCCATGCGTGAGCTCGGCCACAGAAACATTTTCGGAGGAACTCGGGACAGACCACAGAGTGTAAGCCGAAGCTCCCAGAACAATCAGGAGACCGTCTGGGAGTGGTCACAGACCCGTCGCTGGGCCTCTGCACAGAACCCCTCTGCACAGAACCCCTCTGCTGCAGAGATGAGGAATTAATACCAAGTCTCATTTTCGGGGATTACTACCACCTCTTGGGCACTTAAGGAAATGTCGTTTGCAGTGAGATATGTCTGGGCATTTTATCTAAGTCAGTCTGAAAAGACAGATTTATAAGCATCACCAAGAGCCAGCTTTTATGAACCTAAGTCACCCCAGTATATTTGATTTAAGAAGAAAAAATAGATTCACACACCAGTTCTGAAAGTGATCACACGTTAGACCAGCCATCACCTCTGTACCTACAGCCAACTCGCACAACCTCCGCTCTCTGGGCCAGGAGCGGCAACACGTTCATCTCCTTGGAAATGTGCAATTTGTTTTAGTTGCCTTAGTAAAAAAATTCCTCCTCAGATGTGTCCCAATTAAACGTGAGCAAATGTGAGTTCTCTCTGGGTCCTTATCTTCTCTGTCATTCAGTGTGGAGTTAGACCAGGAAATCTCAAATACTTTCCATTTAAAAAAAGTGGAAAATGTACTAGATTAGAGTAAATAGAAAACATGTTGGGGAGAGTTGGGCATCTGCGTGATTCTCGTTTGGGAAAATTGCAGCCACTTTCATTAACTAACGCTGGCTCATAAACCACTGTGGCTGGGCTCCCCGGGCACAGAAATTAAAATTTAATAACGGTGTTTGATTATGATGATTCAGAAGGTGAACTAAGGTAAATGACTAACAGATGCATTGCAGCAAAGGTCCTCAGAGTCTATCCAACATACTGACTTCAGAGACAAAGATATAAGATTTATTTTGCCAACTTTCTCAGCAGCTTTTGTGGTATTACGGAATACACTGTGGATCAAACCAGGATTCTAGAAAATACAATGGCATAGTCGAGAACCTGTTAAAATCTGCCCATTTTGGGGGGAAATGTCTTTGCAAACCAGGAACGAGCTTTCTCAGCCTGATGAAGAACATTGAAAAGACCTACTGCTAATATCATACTTAATGGGGGAAGACTGATTTCTTCATAAAATGAGGAACAAAGCAAGGATTAGCTCTCACGTCGACAAAGGGCTGATGTCCTGTCCAGTACAGTGAGACAGGAAGAGGAAAGAAAAGGCAGGCAAATTGGAAAGGAAGAAAATCGTCCCTATTTGCAAATGACATTACTATTTATGTAGAAAATCTTAAGGAATCTACCAACAGACTCCTAAAACTAATAACTGTTTTTCATAAAATCACAGTGTACAAAGTTAACAAATAAAAAAAATTACATTTCTATATTTTCATAAAAAATGGGAAAGAAAATTTAAAACCCAGCTGTTTACAACAGCTAAGAAAGAGCAATATTATACATAAATCTCACAAGACAAGTACAGCTCCGTGCGCTGAAAATTACAAAATGCTGATGAGAGGAACCGAGGGAGGCCTGAGAGGCACACGGCACTGCGGGCTGCAAGACCCAGGCACAGTCAACGTGACAAGTTGATCGTTTTCCTGAATCGTTTATTCAGGAAGACTTTCCAGCATGACTTTTATGTAGATACAGATACGCTTATTCTAAAGTCTATTAAAATGGTACACTCGAAACCTACATAATCTCATTGAGTAATGTCACTTCCATGCATTTACTTAAAAATAAAATAAAGCCAAATGTATGTGGACATGCAAGGACACCAAAACAGCTAAAAAAGTTTTGAGAAAGGGTGACCACACCCAAGTGGAGAGGGGATGGGAAAGAACCAGGCATCCGCTAACCCCATGTTACCCACCGGACACGCTCTGTGTGTTATTGCACTTAATGCTCACAAGAGTCCCGAGAGTTCTTCATTATTTTCCTGAATCTGTAGAAGACATTGAATGACATAATTAAGGTCACACAGACAGTAAACAACAACAAAAAAAGGCAGGTGTCTGACGCCAAAGCCCACTGCGGTGCCAGATTCATTGGTTCCCTCAACAAATATTTACTGGTCAGCTCCCTTTGCCTGGCACTGTACCAGGCTCTGGGGAAACAGCGTTTAATGATCCCATTACTCACATGGTGGTACAGATGAGGTCAGACGTTAATCACAGAGTCAGTTGAGTCAATAAAATGAAAGCTCCGTAGCTGCTAAAACCAGATCCTTTGACAAGTTACCTCTCATGGAGTTGAGAGGCTGTCTCCCATCCCCTACCCCCTCTTCAGACTTAAAAGAAAGAGACTGGTCCTGGCTGGTGTAGCTCAGTGGATTGAGCAGTA